CTTTCATTCATTCTTCACACATTTTTTTACACTCTCTCATTTGTTCTCATTTCTCTTTCTTTCTTTCTTTGTTTTTCTTTATTTCGCCACTCATTCTCTCTATTTTTCTCTCGTTTATTCACTTTCTGTCTGTTTCTTTCTTTTTTTAAGTCAAACATTACTTCCTTCCTTCCTCTGTTCATTTTATATCAAACCGCTTTAATTCTCTCTCTCTCTCTCTCTCTCTCTCTCTCTCTCTCTCTCTCTCTCTTCACCACTGTTTATTTTCATTCTTATTTTTTCTTTCTTTCTTTATTTCTTTCTTTCTTTCTTCACTTATTTAATCTTTCTCATCTTCCGCTTAAGTTTTTAATCTCATTTTTTCCTTCATTTTTTTCATCCTCCAAAAACATTTTACTTACTCTCATGTCTGTCATCATTCATTCTCACTCCGATTTTTTCTTCTACACTCATTCTCCCCCCCTCTCTCTCTCTCTCTCTCCGTCACTCTTTCACTCTCCCTTTCTCTTTCTCTCACCCCCTCTCTCTCTCTCACCCTCTCTCTCGCTCTCTGAAACTGTTTCTTCCCGTTCTTATTTTCTTTCTGTCTCTATTTATTTATTCCTTCATCCATTTCAACTCTTTCTGTCTTCCTCTCTAGATTTTAATCTCATTCTTTTTCATTCATTTTTTAATTCTCCTCTCACATTTTTGTTACTCTCTTTTCTCTCATCATTCATTCCCACTCCGCTTTATTTACTTATTCGGTCATTTCTTTCTTTCCTTTTATTCATTCATTCTTTCTGTTTCCTTCTCTCGTTTTTTATCCTCATTCTCTCCCTAATTTCTTCCTTCCTTCATTCTTCGCGTACTCAGTTAACTGCTGCAAGCGCAATTGAGGTGGCAGACGTCCCACCAAACAATCAGATTAACGTAAGCTACATCGACAACAACAGTCACAATAACGAATGAGTGCAACATCCCGTTGGAAAGTAACATCAGTTTGGGGTTTTTTACAGTATCAGTCGCCACCAGTGGCGTAATAGGATTGTCTGGTAAGCTGGATTGATAAAAGCATTCGGTGTAGCTGAATTACGAGCCACTAGAGGGCGTCTCTTACGTTTTACTTCGTTTTACTCTAACATATACAAATACTCGGCACTTACTGATATTTTTTCCCTCTTTTTTAACTTTGCCTCTGTGTCGGTGAAGCTGAAAGAGTAATTGTGAAATGCCACTTGAGTTCTTTGTTGATTGGTTAAGGTAGATCTAACAAAATTCTATGGATCACTAAATAGATACATATATACTTATCCCAAACAATGGCGCCTAGAGTAAAGTAAGCTCGCCGTTAAACGATAGATACTGTCGTGGAATCAATCCTTATTGTGTGCGATAACATCATGATAATATGTAAGACAAGAATATTTTGTATCAAAAGCATTTTCGTTTTTTAATAAATGTTGTACTTTATTTTCGTGAGGAGTAATCTCTATCTATAAAAGGCAGGATATGTGTGTGTGTGTGTGTGTGTGTATATATGTATATATATATATATATATATATATATATATATATATATATATAGCTATATCTCTATAAAAGGTTATAATTTATTACATTGGAATTTGGAATCGTAATTACGATCAATTCATGAGAAAAATTCTTATATAAAAATTATAACCATGGAATATTAGTGTTTAAGCCTTTTTATTATATTCTTACTTTTGTCCTGTACATTGAGTTCGAACTAGATTCTAACCTCTTGGAAATTTTATATATATATATATATATATATATATATATATATATATATATATATATATATATACCTGACTACATAGCTTTGGGTAGAAAGCAACGGCCATCTACTGCGAGAATATCTACTGTCTAGTCAGTGTATTTGTGCTTAAATATCGCCTTTCTTGTTCCGCTGTCTTTGGTGAACTCCGACTTTTCTTGTCCTATCTCCGATTCTGCTGTGTTCTATTGATCAGAATTCGGATGATGAGTTTTCTTATGTGGCTCATTAGATTAATTTCTTTCATAAAGAAATCGGAAAAAATAACTCCGGAAATAAAAAATAAAATTGGCTTACCCAAATGGAAATTAATTATGATGAATAATTTATGAATAGTATATACATACATACATACATACATACATACACACACACACATATATATATATATATATATATATATATATATATATATATATATATATATATATATATATATATATACCATTCATAAATTATTCATCGTAATTAATTTCCATTTGTGGAACCCAGTTTTAATGACGAATATATCATCTTAGATAATCGTTCCCTAAATATATGATAACTGATGATATTAAGTAGGTTTGAAAATATTCATCGCAAAAGTAGATTGACAAGGATCAATGTCTGTAATGAACTCCAAAAGCTCCATGGAGGAAAAGTAAGGTTATTCGTGTGGTTACATAATCAGTAAATTGTGCATTTCAGTCAGTTAAATGCCATACGTTATACACGTTTGGGCGATCATGTATCTTATGATACGTGACTGCTGAGCAAGAATTTTTTTCCGCGCTATGTTGTCATTTCTTCATGCGGTAGACTTGGTTGCCAACACAAGGTGAAAGAACCAAGTTTGTTCTGCTATTTAACCCATAGCTGGGGGAGAAGAGATGAACTCCCACGTCTTCCAAACGGTATTTGTGCGCAAGTGAATCTAACGAAATAGACAGGAATTTTTCTTAAAATCTAATCAAACATTCAATGCACATTTAAACGCTCAGCAGCTGCAACGAAAGTCTCCATAAAAGTTTTAACGGAAAGTGTCTTTGGCTCTTCACTAGAAATATTGTTATATTCATCAATGACAACACAAAGTCACTTGCAGCCAGAATAAAACAGGAAAAATTTGGAATTCGGTTGATTCGGTTTATCCCCCAACCCACATATTCACCTGCCCTTGGATCAACTGATTATAACCGATTTTCGATCGCTACAAAGCACATCGATAGGGAAAAACATTTTCTGATGAAAACCAGATAAGAGAGATTGTCGTAAAACATTTCCCATCAAAACCGGCGCAATTTTACTCACGACGTATCAGTCCTGGGTATGACGATAAACTTCATCCGGCAGCAAGGCTTCTGATCGGGAGATTGGTGGTTTTGAGGATAATGGAACCGCCTCTTAATTGCTGCTGTTCCCAAACCCACTCAGACCCGGCGTGGTAACACCTGTTACGGTCCCAGCAACAAGCAAATAGCGAAACTCCAAGCATAAACAAAACAATATACACCGGCATTATACAAAAAGACCAGCAATGCATTTTATATGTAGTTGAAGTCATACAATTACGTTCAAAATATATTTAGCTCAAGGCATGCAATTAGGTTCAAAATATTTAGATTTCGGCATTAAATAACCCATAAGCCGCTAAACAAAATCAAACAAATCACGACGTATGGAAGAGCTGTCTGATGAGTAGCAACAAGTCACGGCAAATAATGGTGAGTATTTACTTAGATGAGTTTTAGTTGTACTTTATTTGTTGAAGAATAAAGTCGATAAACAAAATCGGAAATTATTTATAATATAATCTAATAATGCGGCATTAATTTTCTTATAGATCCAACCAAAATTGAACCCGTTTTCGACGTACAAAACAGAAACGTTATTATATCGTATTAGATAAATAAAAATAGAAAGACCCGGGGACTTTGAATTGTTATTCGGATAACATTTATATTCTATGAACGAAAGGTCAAGAAAAGCTTATCTCTCCCCACAGAGAGTAATCTTTTCAAGAATCGAAAGCCTAGCGAGGCTTGTGTCATATTGTTAAACCTCTGATAAAGTAGATCATCCGTATATTGTAAAATAATAAAACAAAACTAGCTAATCTGGCTGTTTTTCTGCGTAAATGTCTATCTTGTTAAACGAGGGAAAAAACAGTAAATATTGTTTTGTCTAAAAGCAAAAAAGTGAGGGACGATTTTCCGATTTACTTGAACAATGAAAATGTCGACATGGCCTAGTGAATAAAATGTCAGAATTTATCCATTCAAAAGGATTTTAAAAATACGTAAGCGTTTTATTTTTGTGTCTGAAGTGCTGTTCTTACGATATACTTTATATTGATTCTTCCGGGTCAGTTTTCTCATCTTTGCTCTCCTTATCGCCAGAAATTTCAATCACTGCACTCTCCCTGGTTTTCCTTTTGTAAACATCAGAAGGAGCACTGAACTGTTACATAATACTAGCCCTGCTGTGTGGCGGTGAATGATGGACAATCTGCTCACAGATGAAGACACTTGATTGAACAGGAATGTGTCATTACAGAAGGATGCTGTGAATACAATGAACTGCACATTCGACCAATGACGAAATTTTAGAGAAAACGGAAAGAAAAAAAAAAGACTTACACATAACATCAGAAAGAGAGAGCTGAAACTTCTAGCGCCCTAAATGAGAAAAGAGAGCTCGGAAAACCTGACACTCATAGGACATATGGACGGTAAAAACGACAGAGAAAAGGGGTCGTATAATCTACCTTACGTGCTTGTGTAAATGATTTGCATAACGGGTTAGAAGAGATAGCGAACAAACAAATTTTACTAAGACCCAAAATAGCAGGAAATTGTGGAGAGCTATGATCGCCCACGTCCTGAATGGACACGGCATATAGAAGAAGAAGAAGAAGAAGAAGAAGTTACTGTAATATAACTGCTTCTTCCTTGCTGTTCCCTCGTCTTTGTTGTTTTCATCGCAACATTCCAGCTGATATTTTCTTCGGCTTTCCATCTGGTGTTACAATGACTTGGCAATTCTTCGCCACTGTCGCCCGACTTACTCTCTGCCTTCCCATATGTTATGGTTATACAAAAATTATTACCGACCATTTTCTTTGTCCTCGGGCTTACGGTCACATCACGTTGAAAGACTGGTTCCCGTACGATCACCGAAGTTAAGCAACCTCGAACCTGGTCAGTACCTAAATGGTTTACTGCTTTGGAATACCAGGTGTGTACAGGTAGTGGATAGTGGCTCGGAATTGTTAATCGGAGGACCGAGTTCCAATTCCAGTTGTGTTCGTTAGATTCACTTACATGCAAATACCTATTCAAAAATATATGAATCTAACTCTTCCCCACCCTACTATGGGTTAATTAGTAAGACTAAATTGTTATCATCTAAAAAAAATTCTTACAATCTAAATGTATTTTCTGGCTTTAAATAACCCTGTTATGGGACCTTACTCATAATAACATAATGGACTATTCCATACATAATAAATAAGGCTAAGCAAGAGGAAGCAGGGAGCTCAGTCCGAAGTCGGACGACCGGCTGACCGGCTGATCGGTTGAACTCTCTGCGGAGAGGAACACGAACGAAGCTACGCCGCATGGCGAAGTCTCTTTCGGGGAGGTAAACCGACCCTGAACCCGTTTATACGGATTCAAAGGGCATATTTTTGGCCGAGCCCACGGGCTAGGAGATCCCACGTTAAATCGGCCTTGTGCCACATGATGCCCTCGTGTGGGGGTGACTAAATACTGTTCAGTCCGAAGTTGGGCGACAGGCTGAACGGCTGATCGGGTTGAACTCTCTGCCTTCGGGCGGGGAGGAACCCGAACGAGGCTACACCGAAGGGCGGAGTCTCTTTCGGGGAGGTAAACCGACCCGGCACCCGTTTATACGGGTTCAAAGGGCATATTTTTGGCCGAGCACACGGGCTCGGAGACCCCACGTCAAACCGGCCTTGTGCCACATGATGCCCTCGTGGGGGGGGTGACTAAATACTGTTCAGTCTGAAGTCTGGAGTGAAGTTCGTCAGGAGTCAGCCAGTCGAGTCAGAGAATTACTACTAAATCTTATTGTTCATACTAACATTTCTACTTCTCTGTATATATTCCTGTTTGTAATATATCTGTGTTATTCGATATACGTATCGTGTTCTTCTTTATTGGTTCTACCTTGGACTATCACCGTGGTACAAGGAACCGGACCATAACAAACCCGCAGTTTTATTCTCTGGCTTCCCCTATTTTTTTTTTTTTTTTTTTTTTACTGTTGTATAAAAATAATTTATTATCATTCTCTTTGCCTTTGCTGTCTTCATCACATTTCGACCGCTATACTCTCATTCCGTCCTTTTTTGCTAATGTTATATAACAATTTCTCCGGATATTTTCTTTATCTTTGTTGTATTCATCATATGTCGACCACGCTAATCTAATCGGTTATCTTCTATATTGGTACTATTAGATTTCTTTTCGGCTAATATAATGCCTCATTCTATTCTGGTCAGTTTTTTTTTTACACTGTTTTCCCCCCTCACAAAAGATCGACCGCTATAATCACTGGCCTTTGTTTTTGTTTTTACTGTAATACAACATAATTTTTTCTTCCACAGAGCTGTACCCCCTAACTTTCCTTACCTTTATACTATTATATAATAATGGTTTCGAAGCATTTTCCGCCTTGTTATCCTAACGGAGTCTCTGGTCGTTCGGAGTCTAAGATCCTCGGCCTGGTTTGTTTATCTGTCGAAACCTGAGACCTTCCGAGAATTTCAAAGGGAACTTTTTAATTTAATCTATTGGACCATACGTATTTTTTTCAGTCTTATGTTTTTTTCTTTTTTTTCTTTTTTTTTTTTTTCATCCGGGTTAATTTCATAACATATATGGTTTACTCTGTGTGATGGACATCGTTTGAGGAAAGACCTTTGTCCTTACTTCCGCTGCATCAGTGTGTGGGCGGAAATCGGAATGGATGATTTCATAAACAAGAAATGGATCCGGTGGCTAAAATAAACAGGACGCACAGGTATCCTGAGCCTTGATTAAACAGAGCGCACAGGAGTCATGAGAGGAAGAAAATGCGTGCATGCGTGGGAACATGCCGGAAGAGGCGAGACTACACCAAGTTGCGTAGGCGACATACCGGAAGTAGGCATAGCCATATGAAGTTGTGTAGGTGTCAAAATGTTACTTAACCGGTTCGATTCTTGCTCTTGCCACAGAGGTTAGCTAGAGATTCACCGAAGATTTGTCTCCATCAATTCCTGTGCTAACAATCATAACCTCTGTGATTCTCATTCTACCCAATCGCCGCAGCTCGAACAATATATATATATATATATATATATGTGTGTGTGTGTGTGTGTGTGTGTGTGTGTGTGTGTGCCTGTGTCTGTTTCCGTTGCCTTATTTGAGCTCAGCAACGATATACTACATGCGAACCTACATACGTTTCCTCACTGCTCAAACCAGATTGAACTAACAACTTTCAGAAGAACAAATTGTCTTTGCGCTCCTATGCACAAGTCTTTCAAACGAAATCAGAATCAATAACTACACATTAGAAATAAACCTTTAATTACTTCGGATCAACCACTATAAACATTTCGCATCCGTGGCTATTCTTCTTCTATATGCACAATTTCCATTCCTTTGTTGCTCTTATAAAATTTTGTCTTTTTTTTTAATTCTAAACCTTAGTCCTTCATTCATTTACCCAAGCTCTCTACGTAGATTATTCGTTGGCCTCCTCTATCCCGGTTTCCTTTAATCTGTCCTCTGAGTATCAAATTTTCCAAGCCTTCTTTCTTCATTATGTGACCTAGAAATTTCAAGTTTCTCTTCCTGATGTTAAGTATGTCTTTTTTATTTCCATTTTTTTCTAAAATGTTCAATCCATGGTAATCAGCCTTCTGTAGAAACACATTTCTGTTGCTTCAAGTCCAGATTGTCCAGTATTCACTGGCATGTAGGAAGGCAACTATTAACATTCGAAAATCCATTCGTAATGTTTGAGACCACGGCAAAATGTCCGGGTCAAACAAAGTTACAACTCTGTAGAGCTTGGGCCGTCAACACGCTCTTTTATTATTCTACGACCTGAACCCATTTTTCATGTCAAAAAATCCGATTGACGGAACGAAGTTTATAGTCGTTGCATAAAGGAAATATCTATTTAATGATATATTATAGTCGTTTCACGTTTCTAAATGCCGACCACAGCCATAAATACTATTGGCAAATGACTGATACAAAAATATGACATATTCAATATTCACATTTCAGAGTCTGTCTATATTTCTGAGATGAGGTATTATGTACAGTATTTACATTAGTCGGACTATTGTCCTCATCTTTGTCGCCATATTTGTCACAACGTTTCGGCCGTTGTACGCTCCGGCCTTCTTCAGGTGGTTGGAATTTCGAACTGAACCCTTTATTTCGATCACTGGGGTAGACTGTTCTAGTTCCACGTGCCATGTTTGATGGATGTCAGTTATCAGTTATCTCCTGCTAATTTTCCCTCTGAAAGTTCTCCACTGCCTTAACCAGGAATTGAACTCACCTTCTTTGGGTCTGTCACTGGATCTAACCAACGCCTTTATCCACTGTGCCATGTGTTTCAGTTTAACATTAGAATGTTACATATACTGGAAAATGGTTTGTTCCCTGTATAGATCCAGTAAGTAAATCACTACTCCCGCTGTTCTCTACCTTTACAAGAGCCAGAACAGGTGAAAAATGGTGTCCAGCTGCCATATATGGACAAGAGCTGTTCAGTCTTTATTTTTTGGTCTCGATAGAGTCCAAAAGAATTTCTGCATCCCTGTGGGTAACGAATTATCTTACACCCTGCAAACCCTTTTGTCACAGACGAAACGTTCTAAACGCTCTTTTGTCCCTATTTTTATGACGAGTCTTCAGACGAACTACATTACTTAGTTCCAACAGTCCTGATTTGACTATTAAGACCCGACATGCCAAGCACACTGCAACGTCCTTCTCTTCTTTATTTGGTGAGATTTAAGTTGTACTCAAGCAGCTTCCTTTCACGAAGCTCAGCTTTATGGAACAGACGTCCAAGAGCATTCTTCTTCGATTTCTACAATCTTAACATGTTAGAGTCCAGGTTTAACTGTTTCTTCTTCATACATCCCCATAAACTCTATCTCGCATTCTGTAACGCTGAAGCTTGAATAGCTCTTGGACCTTGTACAAGGTGAATAACATTGCAAAAAGCATCCCCATTGCATTTCAAGGCCCATGTCCGGGCTAATCCTCAAATAGAGAGATCACAAGGGAACTGGATAATTTCTGTAACCAGCCATATGTAACCGTACGGAGCTCCATTTTAACCGCTGCTTTTTGGAGCCAACTCCAAGGAGGATGTTCCCCCATTCGATACAATCTTAGTTCAAATCTCGTTTCAATCGTTATCTTACCCACATCTCTCAATAAACTGTGACTCTGTAGCTCACTAGCCTGGTACAGGTTGAATATCATTGTAAAAAAAAAAATTAAATATTTCAATAACAAAAAAAAAATATTTGATATCTATAAGCTATCGTCAAATGTACTTTTATCAGGAAATTCGTTTTTCCTAGGTTCACCTTTTGTAAACAAATTAAATTTATCTCTTCTCTCAGCATGATGAGGCATAATGAATTCCTTGTGATGTGTAATCAATTAAATATCACATCAAATCAATTTACCAATTTATGGAAATATGTTTGCGAAGAGGAGTTTCATTCAGATCAAACCTTGAAAATGAATCAGAGACACACAACGCAGCATCGCGCAGAGATGACAGAAAAATTACCCATGCTAATGAATAGATATGCAAATAAGATTATCTTTCTGTGGATGTTTAATAATAAGCAGAATAAAATACACGGACGAGTAAAAGAGAATATGACAATATTAATCTTTCCATCAGTTAGCATAATACATATATATATATACTAGCAGTAGAGCCCGGCGTTGCCCGGGGATGTAACAGTAAGAGATAGATCAAGTATCGACCATCATAAAGACTGAAAAATAAAATTGACAAAGATTATTGTTTAAGGTTGACGGACATGCATGCCTTAATTAGTTTTTTTTTGTTTGTTTGTTTTTTACGAATTGGTCAAACCCAAATTCAAACAAAAACATTGTTTACAATCGTTATGAGTCTATCAATTGGTGAATAGAATTTTATTATAAACAATTGTCTTGTAAA